TACACAATACAGGGTTTCTACTAACATGGCCCCCAAAGTCAGCATTGTATATTCACTGCTTGTCTCTCCCTAAATGCTCACAGAGGCTCTTATGTCTTCTCCACACAGCAGAGGAGGTGATTTAGCCAAGTCGGACTTTCCTTATAAACAGCATTTCATACAGTAAGCAGCACAATTCTAACAAAGAGAAAATACAGCAATATGGTTTTTGCACAGTTGATTCTGTTGCACCTGTCAAAAGCCGGTTAATGTTTTTTAACATACCTACCACATTTACCTCCTTGTAGTTGTTGAATGTAGGCAGCTTGAGGTGTTTGTCATACCAAAGAGCCTGTCCCATATTTGACCTGCCTATGTAAATGTGTGATGTTGTAATGACCACGGAGATCAGATTAAAGGTGTGGATCACTCTTTTAATCAGTACCTTTGCTGTGGTCTCTAGTAGGAATGAACGCCTTGTAAGTCATACTCTGGGGAAACAAAGCTCTGGTGCACAATTGTCAGGAAGTAGAAGTGAGCCACATCAGAACTGAGCTTCACAAGGCTTGATTTGGAGTCCTATTTCCTGTATTTTTGGCAATCTTGCCTCGGATTGGCTAACAGCTACAGCAGACTTGCCACGTTGATGTTTTATCTCCACATATAAGTCACGCCTGGAGGAGCTGCTGCTGTGTGGTAGAGATGCTAATGTTAACAGTTAGCTTCTACTAGCCGAGACATTCTCTGCTGCTTCCTGGATGCTAAATCAGCAAAAACCTTAGCCGTCAAGATGGGTCAGTCCATGAATGTTAAGTGACAGTGTGACATAGATCTTTAAGGATTTTCAAATTCTAGAGTTTCACCGTCTATGTTCTTTCAGAAGCTAATGTATGAGATAGGTGTAGGAGACTATTTTCATGTTCAGCCTGCATGGAAAACTCAGAGTGACTGATTATAATCAGAAATAAGTTCACACCTTTAAGACTGATTTTACATGTCATGAGCTTAGACACACAGCCCTACATGTGCATGTCCTAAGTCCCAACCCACTTCAACATTGGCAATATATAAACATCGGTTGCTGTAATGCAAACCACACTAGCTATTGCTAATGCTAGCCCGAGCCAATGCTAAAGCTAGCCCAAGCTACTGCTAATGCTATCCTGAGCTAACATCCTTGATAAATAAAAATGAAAAAGAAGAATGTTGGAGCACCACTGACGTTCCAGGATGTACAGGGAATCTCTTGACTTTTAGTAAATGACAGATAGATCTACAGCTTTTGGTCCTTGCCCTCTTACCCATTAGTGTGGCACAGAGAACAGTTTCCAGTGGTAAAAGAATTACACCCATAAATGTTTCACGCATGAAAAAAAAGCTCATATCTAAAATGATTGATGTGATTTTTGAAATTCATATACCCATCCATCCATTTTCTTCCGCTTATCTGGGATCAGGTTGTGGGGGCAGCTGCCTAAACAGAGAGGCCCAGACTTCCCTCTCCCCAGCTGCTTGGGCCAGCTCCTCCAAGTGATTCCCAAGGCATTCCCTGGCCAGCCGAGAGACATAGTCTCTCCGGCATGTCATGGGTCTTCCTTTAGGTCTCCTCCCAGTTGGACATGCCTGGAAAACCTTATCAGGGAGGCATCCTAATCAGATGCCCGAGCCACCTCAACTGTCTCTTCTCGATACGGAGGAGCAGCGGGTCTACTGAGAGCCCCTCCTGGATGACCGAGCTTCTCACCCCGGTTGTTTCTCAGTGTCAAAGCGCCTGGCCTTGCGAGGTGATGTATTGCGAGACCAGGCGCCTTGCTTACGAGGGCACTGTCCTTCCTTGGTCAAAGAAAATGGTGAAAAGGAACCGACTTTCATCACGTGACCGTGGCTTCCACGGCAGTCACGTAATGTCATGTGACACGGGAGACAACGTTATATTTTATACATATTAGTTTCAATACAAATATATAACAAGCATTTTACTTTTTATATTGTGTATATATTTGTTAAATAAAAATATAAGTGAGTTACTACCTGCTAGCCACCGAAGCTGCAACTAGCAATTAACCAACCATAGATAACTTCTTTGGATCTAAATAAACATTTTAAATTAGTTGACTTACTTTTAAACTTGAAAATTGTCCCCGAAGTAGCTGCTGGCTTCTGATCCGCCATCCTTTTGAAAATACTGCAGTGTATTCTGGGTAATTTTTGACCAAGGCTAGGCCACTTCCCGTGTATCGTTGCTCAGCTAGCTAAATGGCTAACAAACGGACAACACACACCTCGGTAGAACATGAACATTGGAACAAGTCTTGGTGGCTCCCGATGATGTATCTCCTAGGCAACTGAGGCGGGGCCAAGACATCAAGGCAACAACCAGCCACCCTGTGGAGAAAACTAATTTCAGCCGCGACCTCATTCTTTCGGCCACTACCCATAACTTGTGACATAGACGAGGGCTGGAGCATAGATCGACCAGTAAACAGAGAGATTCACCTTCCAAATGAGCTCTCTCTTCACCATGACAGACCGGTACAACACCCACATCACTGCAGGCACCGCACCAACCCGCCTGTCGAGCTCACGCTCCGTCGTTCCCTCATTCATGAACAAGACCCCAGCTGTGCCTGTCCCGTCCAGGATTGGCTCCATTCTATTTTGTTTTTGAAATTCAGAACTCAGAATTTCTGAGCCTGAGTGTCATGCATAATCTAAACATTGTGGAAAAGACATCGTAGAGGATCTAAGTCCTCAGAACCTAACAACATCCAGGTTTAAATGGTCGGCTTAATTATTTTTTGTGTCTGAATCATGAGTACAAGGGGAAGTACGTATATGAAGACCAAGGACTCAGCCTTGATGAACTTGAAGTCACGCCCAGAGATGGGAATTCTGGCATCAACAAGTCAAATCCATGTCATGATTTTGTTCAGCTCAGCAACTGAACAAGGTTCATTCATTGTGCTGATTGAAATCACCTGGTTTAGTTGCTGAACTGAGGAAAAACACGGCATGGAGATGACTTGTTGATGCCACAATTCCCCATCTCTGGTAACGCTCACTTTAACAGAATTAAAATCATCAGTCCAGCCTGTGTTATTTGCTCAATGTCTGATATTGTCTTAGGAAAAGTTCTTATCAAGAATGTTGTGCATTGGAATATTTTGGGAAAGTTCGTTTTGAGATAAATTAGTCCAGGCGAATTCTGTCTTAGAATATCATCAGAGTATCAGCTCTAAATATAAATAAATGACTAAATATATAAAGTCAAATAATAATAATAATAATAATAATTATTATTATTATTATTATTATTATTGTTGTTATTGTTTTTGTTATTATTATGATAAAAGCTCAAATGAAGGATACAAAAAACCTACCTTTTAAATGTTTCCTTAAAAAAACCTTTACAAAAGATCAAATTGTCAATCATTTCCGCACCACCTAGATTTTTCCTCATAAGGCATTTATCGGGCTTTTGTGTGTAAAAACACACATTTACATAATAACTCTGTTCTACAAGGCCAAACAGCTTCAGTCTGCTTGAACTTAGAAAGTATTTATTTATTCTTGTAGAACATACATGTGAATAACGATGAGATAAGGGGGTGCATTATGTTAACAAACTTATGACTATTCAGATAAATAATTTGAATATTAAATTCAACTTTGTAGTTTAGCTTCATAACTTGATTATAGATCGAATAAAAGAAGGAAAATGTTCACATTTAGTATTTGTTAGCGAGTGTTAATATAAATGATGTTCTGATGCTCATAATGGTGAACCTCTGTAGCATTTTCAGCATTTCAGACTCGTTTCTTCACGCTGTGACTGCTGAACACATAAAAGACAATCTTGCGATTATCGAGGAAAAACTGGATGACTTTCAGACGAGAGGAGGCAATATCAATCACGACCAATTTGAGGCCACCAACATGAAATATGATTTCATAAGACAAATGCAGTGTCATTCTTAATGTGCTTAACCTTTACTGTCAATGAAAAAGTATTGATCGCTCCGTGGCATTTTTTCATCATTTGATTTGAGAAAGTGTAATAATATATGGTGGTGGGATGAGATGAAAAATATATGGCAGCTGAATGATCTAAGAAAAGCTGAATTCTCAGCTGAGTCCTGAAAGTGTGGAAAAGTTTAGAATTTCCAGAGGTTTTCCGCTGTAGCCAAATCTATTTTAGGTCTTATTTAACTTTAATTTTAAGTAGGCAGCATAAATGGGGAGCCAGCTGCAGCGTTTCTGTTTTTCTATTCTTCTGAGTTATCGCGCGGTCTCTTCTCTGGCTTTGGTCTACTTACTCAGCCTAATAAAACATTGCTCTGCTGCAGTACAACCAAATCAGCAGTGCATTTTCAGCTCCCTAATAGGTGGTTAGCTTGATTTATGTAGGTAATCACGGCAACGTGGCGGGCTCTATAACCTCTGCTCGATGCGAGAAGCCTCTTCTCCAGACCACAGGCCAGACCAGATTAGTCCATTACAGTCGTGTTCAGATGGTCATTTTAACCTTCCTCTGCCTCCACAGATTGGACTCTGTTAGAGTCTGGTGATGCAGGAGGACTCCTAAGTCGAAGTGTGCAGAGGGGACTGACGATACAGTGATGCATAGCCGAGCTGCCTGACTCTATTGTGAGAGCAGCGAGCAGGCGGGCCATCGCTGTGGGTCGAAAGACTAGACTCGGTCCGCAGGGAGCCCCAGGGGCCAGAGAAAGCACTTAGAGTGGTAAAATGGCCACTTATTCACAGCCTCCCTCCAGTTTTCACTGCTCCTCCCTACCCTCTAGCCTCCCACTGCGTCCAGGAGCACTCACCTCTGGGAAAGGTTTGATAAACTGCACAGTCCTTGCTGCTGGACTCTACAGACCTCACTATAGTTAGCCTATTGTGGCTCAGGCAACAAAACAGAGTCATGAAGCTTCTAGTTTGCTTCTTCTGGACGTTTGTGTTGTTCTCTTAAGATCTGAAGGCATTCTGATGAGTGATGCCTTTTTTTCTCTGTGCAGCTGAACCCCCTAGCCAGCCAGGCGGCAGTAGCAGCAGCAGCAGCCATGGGCTCCATCGCTGGCTCTCAGGTGTTTGGCAACACCCTCTCAAACCTGCAAGGGGCCACCGGGCAGCTCGTCACCAACGCACAAGGACAGGTGGGTGCCATGACTCAGGGAACCGGCAGGCTGACGAATCACACCTGTATTAAACTGATCCTATGATACAGGAAGAAAACTGTTTCCTTGGTTACCAGCCTCTATAAGAGCTCATCTATGAATGTACTACTCAACAGGAACCATTTGTATAGTATTTCTAATATTTTCACATAGATTTCAGTGTTAGGCTGTTTGTGTACCGTCCTGCAGCCACCCCCTCCATATATTAGGTATTTTGGGAATTAACAAACCCTTCCCTCTCTTATCCGTATGCGCCTGTCGGAGTAAAACGCTGACCTTGTCATATTTAAGGGTGGCTGCAGAATTGTTCCATCAGTAGCCAGAGGCTTGAACGATGATGCTTGTCATTGTGGGGCTCTATGTAATGAATCATCTTATCTCAGGTGCACACGGCACATATTAAAAGAGGATTTTGTGGACATCATGTCACCTTTTTTTAGATCTTTACTGTGTATTTACATCAACTTCACAAAAAAAAACACAATGACATTAAAGCTATTTGAGGATTTTATTCCTGAAACACTCGTAAACATTTAAATGTGGTCTCTCGGTGTAACGTTTCACGGTTGTCCGAGGAGGAGAGCTTGATTCTAAACATTGCTAATGAGACAGTATGGGCATTCCTGGCTCACAAGGTGCCTGGAGCACTGGGAACAGATCACTGAGGATATGGACTTGACGGGATGCTCTGTGCTTTTGTAGCATCTTGGTGGCTGACACTTCCTGACATAATCAGGTCACTGAGATGGTCAAAGCCCTGGGGTACAGCCTTTACTCCCCACCTCATTATTCCACTGCATTATTCAGACGGAGGACTCTGAAATATGCACTCCCCATATCAGAAGGTCCTGCCCCTCCCTTCCCCCAAACACAGAGGACATCACACAGGCTTCAGGGGCCTTGGGGGTCCAGCAAACACACATTTCCATCCATACTTGGCTTTGTAGCATTTATTTATTTATTTTTTACAATTTAAGGGACGATTTCTTTTAAACCATCGCTCCATTTCACGTGTAAACAGTCACCTTCCCTTCGCGTTTAAAAGACAGTCTTTGTTCTCTTAATTTTTCTCCTCAGCTCTGTCAAAAGACGCTTTTGGAAGCCGAAGCTTTGAGAACCTTGAAAAGTGTCAAGTCTGATGGGCCTTTGGAGTTGGGTTTTTAAACCTTAATTATATTGGCTCCAGCTTTTTTATTCTCCAAGGAAAATCAATGAGGCTCTTTTATCCTTAGTGTCTCTACAACAGTGATTAAAGCTGTGGATAAAAGCCACAATTATGAAGTCACTCTCACTCCTATGATGTTTTTTTTTTTTTTTTTTTTTGCACGGATCAAATTTTTGCTAAAATCAGTGTGGATTTTCACTTTTCTTTCAGAATGAATATGTAATTGGTTCTATAGTGGCTTTAGGGAAGGGTATTTTTTATTTCTTTCTTTAAAATGTACACACTAAATGTTAGCTTCCACTTTTGAGCATAAAACCCTTCATTTCTTAGTTAATCCACACCACTCCCAGACTTTTGTAAGGCCGTCTAACGCTGGGACAAATGTAGAAAGCAACAGGTTCACTCAAAGCCAGCTGAGCCACAGAGCATCAATGGAAGTTTCTAGCCCTTAGATCATGTGTAACCGCTGTGTAAGCTGGTATTGACCTTGTAATTGGACTGTAGAGCCACACAAATGGATTATTTTCCTCATTGATGAATCTGTTGATTCACTATAAGTTCCCTGGTTATTTTTTTTGTCCCAACAAGCCTTAAATGTTGAAGTTTAAAAATAAAAATACTCAAAAAGATGAAGAGAATGATGTATCAATGAGCAAATGTAGTATTTAACCACTTTTTTCCACTCAAATATTTTTCCTTTTGTTCATAAATTGGCCTCATTTATGCTTTCACAGAAAATAGAAAAGGATAGAAATCAAACACCATCTTCAGTTCCCAGCAGCACCATGAGGCTGCTGCTTTAATCTGTAATTTGCTCAGAATTGTAGAGCAATTTGAAGCTTACAACAGCCGTCTGGACTCGTGTGTTGACACAAGTCCAGACTTCCCAAACATTTTTTTCCCCTCTCGGGTTTTCGTTCATCGCATGAACAGTGGAGGAGTGAAAATGGGCAGAGATATTGCCTGGTGACCATAGCTAAAGACACAGATTGCCCTGGCTGGAGAGATGAGATGACATTTCTGAGGAAACAAGAGCAGCATAATCTTAATGAGTTCTGGTGGATGGAGAGAGACACGTTTCTCACATGCCAAATGGTGAACTGGAGCAAAGGCAAACACGGGAGACGGAGGGGGGAAAGATGGAGTATAAGTAAGGATGTGGACTTGGCTGTGAATGAAACAAAGTGTTTATTTGTCAAAGAGTAGTTTGAGGAAATTGCATCTTAAAAAACCTGCAATCAGGTGTTTGGAAATGGAAATGACTTCAAGTCCTCATCAGATTCATGCAAGCTGCTCAAGGGGATTACCAGCAGACCCGTATGTTAAAAAACACACAAAATAAATCAAACCAGTTTATCCAGTAATGATTTTATCTGAAGCCACTTACAATTAGATAAGTAGAAAGATGTGTTCCACATCACCACAGATGGGTTTACTAATTATGGTCGGCAGTAAAAAATAAATTATAAATGAATTAGTCATGCACAAAGTGTATGATCTGTGTGCTAACATTTTAAATCGAGGATTTATGTTCAACCTTTGATAGAAATGTTTGATTAAAGAAATTGAGTTAAAGGTGTTAAAGAATGTAAAACCACATCTATAGTTGTTGAATATAGGCAGCTTGAGGTGTCTAATGTAGCATAGCAAAGGATCTGTGTTGTTTCTGACCTGCTCTATTGAAATCACCACGTAGAAACGGTTTGTTGTGAGAAATGCATTTTCGAAACATCATAGGTGTAGACACACCACTTAAATTACCATGTCCCAACCAACTTCAGCATCTGCAAAATATGCACAGGTAGCAGAAATGCTAACCAGGACAGTGCTAGCCCAAGCTAGTGCTAACACTAGCCTTAGCTACTACTAATGCCAGCCCAAGCCCCTGCATACACTTACCCAAGCTACTACCAAAGCTAGCCCGAGCTAGTGCTAACACTAGCCTGAGCTACTGCTAGCATACTTTAGGGGCGAGGAAAAAGCAACAAAGAAAATGTTGGAGAATTAACGTTCCAGGATATGCTGGAACTATCAAGACTTCAAACAAATGCCAGCCAGAGCCAGGTGTATGGTCCAACAGAGTACGATTGCACATTCCCTTATCAGCATAACACACCCACATGAACACACTGTTGTACACAGAGATCCTAGCGTCAGGCAGCACATCATAGAGCCATTGGGTTAAACCGGCCAATCAGCATGCAGCACAGTAAACCAGCCTTTCATTGTAGGTCTTTATTATTGGGTGGCATTTGGTTATTTTTCAGGGCTCCTGGGCTAACTAAGTTTCATATAAATAGAAACTTAAAGATGTTGCAATTTTATATAATCATGGTTTAAGTGATTGTTCAGTTAAGAAAGGATAGTTAAAGCTATTTTTGTTCAATCTTAAAACACATGATGATTTTAGCACATGGAAAAAGAGATAATAGCTCAGTTTCTGTAAAATGGATTTAGTTATTGCCATTTTTGTGTTTGCCACTGTCAGTTAGCTGTTGCGGCCATCTTTAATCATGTTGATCCCAAAGGTTAATCAGTTATGTACATCCAAAGATCATTAAAGCCTATGGTTTCCGAGATGGTCGGTCTAGATTTGATCAGATCAATCAAAGGTAGGAGCCAGTATCAGAAATATAACTGCTCCTATAGAGAAACCTTACATATTCAAGCGCGTATACACACACAGGTGCTCACATGGTGCTCTGATAAGTATGGACTTGGGCACATTCAACATGTCTTAAAGCTGTGGTTGGCACTAAATGCACTGTGATTTATTATCGTATGATTGTTCAGATAAACAATGTTGATTTTACGTTTCTTCATCAGGTTGACGCAGTGATAGCTTGCTCCTGTTGTTTTGTTGTGTGTCCCTTTTCTGCAGGTCTAGAAGCAGACTCTTGTTCATCATCGATTGTTTATTTTTGTGGACACCCACCCCCTTTTTTTGTCTCTTCCTTTCTCTTTCACCTGTCTCCTTGTCTGGTTGGAATTACAAAGCATTCAAAAACAATAACAATAAAGTTTTAAGTATCAGGCGTGACATTAAAAGCAGAAGCTTTGACGCTCCACCTGAGAGTAAATCTGTAAGGCTTGTCACCAGCATTCAGACATTAATTCTGTTTGCTTCACAGCCAGACAGGACACGGAAAAAAGAAAACAAAGAAATATAACCATAACATTTGAAACAAAAAATACCATGAATAAGACAAACAGAAATAAAAAGTGACACTTTTTTTTTACTAAACTCTTTAAGATTTGTTGGAGAAGAGGCCTACCTTAATCAGTAACATTAGAGATTGAGCTTTGTTGGAAACAAAACAAAACCCTCCCTTTTTGCCACAAGTTAACACTCTGACAGCTCACCGCTTTGAGATATGTGCCCTTGCAGGCTAAATGAAGCTGTGTGACACAGCCATGAAACATCTGCAGATATTCAGACGTAGGAAGACGGTGCAGCAGGATGAGCGTTGAGCTGTCAGCTGCTTGCTCCTTTATTATGCTTATAGAACAACCACTTAGTCCAATGATGATGAATAATTGAGCGGAACAAGTTCCCTGCCACAACGGCATGCAAAGTGGGATCAGTGGGACTCTGGAGACACGAGCGTCAGGCAGGGCAATAAAATATGCTAAGTGGCAGGAGAGCATTACAGGGAATTTGTAAAGCGAACGCACAGAGAGAGAGAGAGAGAGAGAGAGAGAGAGAGAAATTATCTCTCCTCTAATGCGAAGTAACGTAAGCAAATGAGCCGTGGCAAGGATGAATTACAGAAAGTCGGCCCACCTTTCTCTCACGGATCCCTCCCTATTATGTCAAAGAGATGGCGGGGAGAAGAGGGGGGAGGCGGGTCCTTCGCTGAAAGACATTAGCAGCGTTGGCAATGGAGGAGAGGCAGCAAAAGAAGGCTGTTTGTAGTTGTGTGTTGCTCTGGACTGTGGCAAAGAGCCTTGGACTAAAATACAAACATAAAGAGAGTCCAAGACGGCGCAATTTCACCAAAAGTAGCCCTCCGCCCTGTTGCCAAATAACAGAATGATGGCGTCTCATCCGGGTTTGAGTTTCTCTCTGGTGTAGTGAGGCCTGGTGGAGGACTGATGCCAGCAGGGGGGTCGGGAGACGGCTGCTCAGGAGCTGCCCAGAACCAGTCCCCAGATGACATTAGCCTTCATCATAGTGAAGAGGCGCTAAGTCTCCCCTAAAGCGCCACTCTCTGCCACACTCTGGCAGCGCTGAGAGCTAAAACGTTGCAGTGACACTTCGCCACCCCTTTTGATCTGCCCTTCCTGATTACATCCACTGAGGAGAGCAATGCAGGGGGTGGAGGGGTGTGCTGGGGGTGGGAGGGTGGGGGTGGGGGGTCCCCTGGGACCCTGAGAGTTAAATTAGAGACACGGGGTCTTGTCTCACTCCCTGATGCACCTCTTTTTTCTCTTATTGTTTATTTTCTTGCTCATTCTTTGCACTTCTTCCTCTGTGCATGTGTGCATGCATGCGCATGTGTGTATGTGTGTGTGTGTGTGTATGTGTGTGTGTGTGTGTGTGTGTGGGGGGGGGGATGAAAATGGGGCCTGTGTGTCTCAGCACTTCTTCACACCAGAGACAAACAAAGACACTCAGGCACAAACACACGTTTGGACACACTTTGGTGCCGATCCTGGCCTGGTGATGGATAATACAGTCAGTGGTGTGCACCATCACACACACACAGGTATTCAGCACTGACCTTTGCAGTGCGCTCCCAGCAGTCGGCTCCAGCCTCACTTGCTCTTGGCTGTAAAACCACATCAGTGACAGATGATCAGTGGACACTTCTACATCTTTCTCTCTCTAAATCACACACTCGCCATGCTCAGAAGCCCTGATTATACTGATGACATGCAGTAAATATTCTCACCTCACCTCACTTCTGATCACAACCAAACCTCCCCCAGAAAAATGAGAGAAACCAGCAGCAGGTTTCATTTCCACTGATACCTCCAGTCGCGTTTACCCTCTCTGCTCTTTCTCCTTTTTAAAACCACCCAGCTGATTTTGTCTCCGCTCTGCCCTCCTTTGAAGATAATTGGAACAATCCCACTGATGCCCAACTCTGCAGGGCCCTCCAGCCAATCAGGGGGTGGCAACCCAGCGCTGCAGGTACAGCCAATTACACCTCAGCTTCTGACCAACGCTCAAGGCCAGATCATCGCCACGGTGATCGGCAATCAGATCCTGCCTGTCATCAACACCCAGGGAATCACGCTGTCACCAATCAAGCCTGGACAGCAGGTAACACATGTGCTCACACACTCACACACATTTAAAGGCAGATCACCTGTTGAGCTGCTTATTACATTTTTAATCTGTCGCTCCCAAACTGATCAAGAGCTGTTTTTAAAACTGGAATGAGCAACTCCTAGTGGAGTCACGGCACCATCCTCCTTTTCATCAGATCTCATTTTGCTGCTAAACACCTTATTTTGTTTTCCACTTCAGCTCTTTAAACTCTCATTTGCATCACTCAGCTCCAGATTCGTAGCCGTTGGTGCACACAATGTGTGTTTGCAGCTTTCCATTCGTGCATTATGTCAACTAAACTTCCACAGAGCAAATCCCCCGAAAACACTTCCACCAACTCTTTTACAACTCCTTCCCCCTTCAGTCGTACTCTCCACATTTATGATTTGTCTTCTCTGACCTAAACAAGAAGTATTTTGTTTTGATTTGACTTGACTTGAGTTTTAAACCCCCTGCATTGTTTTCAAAGTATAAAAAGTACAAACACTTTCTCCTCCTAGTTTGGTGATCTACATGGTGCAAACGCGTAGAGCCGCATGCGTGCACACCGACACGTGTAGCGGTCACACTTAATAGCATGACGACTGCAAATTAATTATGACCAATAAGATGTGATAATTCCATATAAATATAAAATATCAACTTGATTGATCTTTGAATGTTTAATCAGAAGATTATAGTTACTTTTACTTGTTCAGGGACCATAAACACACTTCGTATTAATCCAGACAGAGTCAAGTATTTAGTTAAAAAGGAATTTTATTCTTTTCTAAACTAATGATTATACATAACAAGATATGAATAATGAGATGCGATGGAGTGGATATGCGGTGATGGAATGTGATGTGTGAGGTGGTGTGATGTAAGCGAGATGTATATCAGAATTTTTGTGTCTGAAAGAATTTTTGAAATCTGGGTGTAAAAGAATTTTTTCTGCTATAAACTAGAGAGTTGATTATTAATAAAACAGCATCAGACGCAATCTGTTGTGTCTATAAACCCTGGCGGAGACCCCCCAGCAGATCTGGACTGTCAGAAGTCGGGTGGACCTCACGGCACCGGGATTTCGTAAATTAACTCCGATACGACCTGTCCAGTCTTGAGATGTCTCCAGGTCACAACAGTATCTGGAATGCTTGTTTGCGTCCAAAGTGGATGTGGCTCTTAGGGAGCCGTCTGGCTGTGTCAGCTTGCAGCGTGCAAACAGGGTTTTGACGGTATGTCAAAAGAGATGTCTCAAGAATGCTTGTTCCGAATTGGCCTGTTCGAAACTCCGCTAGAAACTGGAAAGTAACCGGGAAGATACTCAGGAAGTAATTCTTGTTTTATTAAACTACTTTATGATTTCTGGCCAAATTTGGTCAATCAAAATTTGACAAGTTTTTGGGTCCCTCAGAAAGCCACGTCCTCCTCAGATACAAAGATGTTTTTAACACTGTGAGTGAGAATGGCTTAAAACACTTATGTGAGGTGAACCTTAATCTTAATTTGAATCTTTTGAAGATGTGTATGAGTGTAGATAATGATTAACTAGTTAAATCAAACACATACTGATCATGAGATCTGCAATGGATCATTGTAAGAGCAATATTCATTTCAATTTCATTGACTTGATTTGAGCACAGATTATTCAAACATTTCATTTAAACATCTTGTTTATTCAACCATATGATTAGTTAACTTATAAGTTGTAAAACCTTGTAGGATTCGTATTGATTCACTTTTATTCAGAGTGAGGAATCCAGCAGTCTGGGCCGAGAGAGAAGGGCTTTTGCGGGAGACCTTGACAGTTTATTTATGTCTGCGTAGAAGAACAATAAGTGAGCAAAAGGTTGATTTGTGCGTCTGAATCCTCCAGCTGGTGTAACCTTGACTTTGCAGCTCTGGCGTGTATGAAAGGTTATGCTGTGTCAATTTGATGGTGAAAATTGACCCTTTTGATTCATATCACACGTGTACATTGGAAACAGTATTGACTTGATAATGAAGATGTCAGAGCAGAATTACAGGGTAAAGGTTCATACTGAAGGCCTCTGCAGTGCAGAATGGATGAACTCTTTCTGCAGATGGACACCTAATTGTGGCAGCACAAGCACCAGATCATACTCTTGAATGAATTAATGCATTTGTAATAATGTTTATGCTTGTGTCTACACTTCAAAGCCCGCGTGTGCACATTGTTCCACGGGCATAATTTACGGTTGTCAGAGTCTGCAGTCTGGAATATTTTCAGTGAAGCTAGATAATTCTTTCAGCCTGTCAACAGTCCTGACAATGTGTGCATCGCTGTCGACACCCCACCACCGCAGCCGCCAACCAAACAAACACAAGCCGCGGAAAAATAATTAATAGCAAAAAACAGGAGGCGAGAAGCCAGCCCAGTTTACCGCGTCGACAGCTTTTCACTTTAAAAGTAAAGACGTACCATTTTGATCTTGTAAAAGCAATCCAAATGTGCATAAAACATGAAAATACATAGTTTTTTGCCATCAGTGCACATAGCTGGCAGATCATGAATTATGTGTCCAAATGTTTTTGTTATATCCACGCTGCCATCACTGGCATCTTTACAAGCCTGTTGATAAGAAAAAAGACTCTTAATTGTCACAAGGTGTTTTTTCTTCTCTTAAAGGAGTTTATTTCTGCAGAGAAGCAATTATAAAGCCCAAACAGGCAGCAGAGCACCTGAGCTGAACCAGCTTACTCTTCACTTTAAACTTTCACTGCAATAGTAAACTCGTGGTGCTGCATTCTGCTCCGTCAGTCAGAATCCTGCAGGCAGTAATTTCATCATCATCAGTTACAGGGTTCCTCTCATGTTCAGCCTCTTAAGTGGCTAATTTAGCCGCTGTTGATTGGTTGATTAGATTAAATATTCTAACCCAGTCACCATAACAACATTATTATTGTAAATTATTATTAGCATTAGCCGCTGGATTCATGGATATTTTCTCTGTTTGTGTGTGTGTGTGTGTGTGTGTGTGTGTGTGTGTGTGTGTGTGTGTGTGTGTGTGTGTGTGTGTGTGTGTGTGTGTGTGTGTGTGTGTGTGTTTCCAGCTGCCTCCGGCTCAGCAGGGTCAGACAGGCCCGCCGTCATCTCAAACCAACCTGCTTCACATGCCCCACAGACAGAGTCCTCTCCACCAGGCCTCTTCCTCCTCCTCCACCTCCTCATCTTCCTCGGCTCTCAGCGTGGGGCAGCTGGTTAGCAGTAAGTGTTCCACACAGTTTACAAAGACACATCGTAGTTACAAAACACACAGAATGATGCTGCTAATGACCAACAATTGTGAAATCAAGCCAGAGAATGTTTTGATTTGTCTCCGAGATTGAGATTTTTTTTTTCTCTGTTACTGGAAATATCTCCATCCACTTTATTTTAACACAAATGTTAAAATACCCACAAGTTGCCAGTAGGAGCCACATTATCAATATATCTAATTCCCCAAACAATGAAAGTTTAATAGTGACAAGATCTGGAAAAATCAAGATGAATATAGAAAAACCAGTAAAAACAGCCCCCTTTAGCAGTCCACTACATCCTAATCTCTGCATTTGCATTCACAACAGTCACCACGTTTTATTTTTTTTATTTGTTCATTTCAGGCACAACAAAATACATATATAAAACATAAAGTGCACAAAAACAAGAAACAAGAATTACCTGAAAAGGAGTGGGACAAAGAAAACTTATTAAATCCCACCCCTATCTTCACTCATCAACTAAAAAAACAATAAGCTTCCCGCAGCTACGCTCATCGTTGCAAACCAAACAACCCATCAACAGTTCCGGGCACATGCAAATATCTCAACAGCAGCTCGCAAACAACAATAGAACCTTCATAACTGAATACAGAATATATTAATTATAAATTGTGTTACCGCAGGTAAACAGGCAATAATAATTACATAGTAACAAACACACATACATATACATAATACATATGTATCTACACACACATGTACATATATGTACATACATACGCACGCACTTTTATTTATTTATTTTTTTAATATATATATATGTTTTTGTTGGTATCCATACCAGCAGTGGTAAGAGAACAGACATTACAGAGCACACTAAAAACTGTTTGTAGAGGAATTTAAATCTATGAATGTTATTGCATTGTTTCAGTTGAAAACTCAGACTGTTCCAGATTTTCACACCACATACAGACACACAAAATCCTTTGCGGGTTGTTCGAGTTCTGGGTAATTTGAATTCTCCAAGGCCTCTCACATTATAAACCCTTTCTCGAATTTCAAATATAGTTTGTAAATTTGCAGGTAGAAGTTTATTAAAGGCTTTGTATAAGATTATGGATGTATTGTAATTAACCAGATCCTGGAATTTTAGTAATTTTGCTTGAAGAAAGAATTTGTGAGTATGATCTAGATAACCAGCCTTGTGAATAATACGAAGTGCTCGTTTCTGTACTGTGACTAATGGATTAGTTGTATTTTTATAAGTGTTTCCCCACACTTCCACACAATATGTAAAATATGGAAGAACCAGGGTACAGTACAGAGTACGAAGTGCATCTTTATCAAGGTATGGTTTCACTTTGTTCAAAACTGCGAGGCTTCTGGAAATTTTGGTTTTTATGTGCCTAACGTGGGGATTCCATGAAATTTTGTTATCAATTACGACTCCCAAAAATTGGTTTTCACTCACATTATCAATTGGTACACCATCAATGTTAATTGGTAATTCCATGTTGTATTTTAAATGACCAAAAAACATTGCTTTAGTTTTATTTATATTTAATGATAATTTATTTATATCCATCCATTTTTTTATTGATTTTAGCTCCCTGTTTACGGTCATTACAAGATCAGTATAATCATTGCTACTGAAAAATATGTTAGTGTCATCTGCGAACAGTATGAGCTTAAGTACTTGAGAAACATCAAAAATATCATTTATATATATACATTGAAAAGTTTTGGTCCCAACACTGACCCTTGGGGAACACCACATGTAATACCAAGTTTCTCTGAATGGTAATGCCCTATGCTAACATATTGTTCCCGACCCGTTAAATTACTTTTTAACCAGTTACCAGCTTTCCCTCGAATACCATATCTTTCCAATTTATCCAATAACATTGAGTGATTGATTGTGTCGAAGGCCTTTTAAAGATCATCAAAAATACCAACTGCATATTTATTTTTATCCAGTGCATTAGTAATTTCTTCTACTGCCTCAATTATCGCCATTGAAGTGGTTCTTTGCGTTCTGAAACCATACTGACCCTCATTTATTATTTGATGTTTATCAAGGTATTTTTCTAATCTTGAATTAAAAAGTTTTTCTAAAATTTTTGAGAATTGAGGCAGTAGAGAAATAGGCCTATAATTGGTAAAACTGTGCTTGTCATTACTTTTGTATAGTGGTATTACTTTCGCAATTTTCTTTTTTTTTTTTTTTTTGGAAAACAATCGGACTGAAATGATAAATTACAAACATATGTTAAGGGACTAGCAATATTCAGAATAACCTGTTTAACTAGAGACATATTTATGTCATGATAATCCATTGAAGACTTACTTTTACATTTTAATGTAATATTTATTACTTCTTGCTCATTTGTAACTGAGAGGAACAGTGAAAAGGGATTTAACTTCATATTACTGATATTTTCATTTTTTGACACGGGATGTCCGCTGCTATTTCAGGGCCAACATTTATAAAAAATTTATTGAACCCATCAACCATGTTACTCATATTGTGATTTTCACCATTTGCATCAATGAAATATTCAGGATATGATGTTCCAGAAGATCCTTTAGAAACCAATTATATATTAACGGACTAGATTCCATCTCTAGTCCCATTGGCGGGTTGGTAATGCAATAAATACAGATTCACTACAAGTTAGCATTCATCAAACATCATGAACGATGGGAATAAACACTTAAAGGAGACAGCTGTGCTTGGTAAAAAAAAGAGGTATAAGGCAGGGTATCCACAGATCTTTAAAATGTCTTCAAATTCCTAAATTACATTTTCCCTAATTAAGCCCATAGATGTTTAAAAATGACAAATATTCCTTTAAGTGACCGTGTGTATTTTCCCTGGTGATAGGGGGCAGTACATACCTAAATCATTGCAACCAACGGATGCCCATTAGGGTCAAAAATCCCTGGGAGCGCAATTTTCTAATGTGTACTTTGTCAGATCATTCAACCTCCAGCAAAATGACAAGCAAATCAGCCTCCTATTCATCACTGGCAATGAGTGAAGAGGTAAATGTGTAAGACAACAACGTTTATGGATGGTGAAGATTTTGCAACTGTTTGTTACAAATCAGTAAACGTTCAGTCCTCAAAGGCTCCCATAGAGTGAGGCATGGTATCTAATATGGCTGTCGCCCAGAGGCAACAACTGGGCATTATTTCATTCATTTTCAACACCATTTTGATGAATACTTCCAGTAATTAATGGTAAAAAATTTTACATTGTTACTTACTTTAAATTCAGAGTCCAAAGAGCTTCAAAAGTTACCGTGGCAAGCCATCCTCTGCCCTCTGCTACGGTCCGTCTAGATTTATAGGCTACATAAATATACTAAAGACCTAATGAACAAGACTGCTTATTTTATTTGTCTATTAACATAAAGAATTTTCCGAATTTCTAATCGGTGTTTTGCATTTATGAGCGTGAGACTGGCATGAGCCAATTGCTTTATGAATTACAGACATCCTGATAAGAGTCAGGATTTTCCCAGCAGTATTACTAGCTAACTCCATGAGTTGAACAAGCTGGAGAGACATACGTTTTTTATTTTATTTTATTTTTTTATTTTTTGGCTGGGGTCTGATTTTTACCTATCTGCTGCTGCTCTGAGCAGCAGCTGGATGTGGGAATGACCAAAAATAAACTCTAGTGTTTGTATTCATCATTGTGGAGGAACATGTCAGCCGGCGTGACAGTGTAGTTTGTTGTGTTTTTATTAGTCACTGGATCACAATGGAGCTCCGTGTCACAGAGGAACAAGATATCAGGTTTTGGCTGCACCAGCAATACTTGTTTGCAGGATCGGTCCATTGTTCTTTTTTCAGAGGGTTTGTTGACAGTAGAAAAATGAAGATTATCACCTTAGGCAGGCTAAAAATAAAAAAATAAAAACTGTCTACCAAAGCAGATAAAAGGTTTTAGCTTGTGATTGATGCAAATCATCTTACATTTTAAGGAAAAAAGATAATGGAAAAAATAATCGGTTGTAGTATTGTGAACCATCATTTTTAACCCTTTTTGGAACAAGTTGTACCAACTTGAAGCAAAAGCACTTTCATGGTCCACTCTCGAAGAAGCTTGATGCCACATATTTACACAACCAGTCAACTGAATTAAATCAACGTATTGGGGACATATCTCATCTTTTGAATCTTTTTGTGCTGTTGTGTGGGTGACTGCTGCTTCTAGAAACATAAATGTAAAAAATATCATCCATCCATTCTCTGTCAGTGTTTGGTTTTAGGAATTAATGTAATTAAAGCAAACCGTTTCAAAAAGTCCCCATTTGTGGTGTCACGAACAACAGAAGTCAAATAGAACCACCCCTCACGTTCAAGAGAGTTGCTACTGGAGGAGCAACAGCAGCTCTACTCCAAGCCCCTCCTGGAGCTTCGCATTGGAGCTTCTCAGCTGATAGCAGCCTGAGCGGGGGCCTGGGTGGGCGTGGCCAGCTCTTGCTTGTTTTCTTAATGTAAAAGAATACTGAAATGTCTCATTCTGGAGGGTGCTGAAAATGTCAAGAATAAGTCTGGTGATACTGCTTTTTGTGAGCGGGATTTCGTGCAATAAAACTTCATAAATGTGTTTTGTATTGATCATAAAACTATTATAACTGAAGCAATATGCACCCTTTAAGTAAAAACATAAATAAGGAAATGTAGAAGCAAAATAAAAAACAAGAACAAATCTTCGTTGACCGTAAAGTGTGGTGGAATTAAACCTCTTAATATACATTCTTTCAAAAACTGAATAACCTTTTGCCTAGTTTGACCACTAAATGTCCGTACCTGTAGTAAGCTGTTCCTTTACGTTTAGAGGATGAGCTTTGTTGCAGCTGCTTTGCATGTTTCACCTACTTTTAAGAAGTGAAGTGATACTCAAACTACCAGAAACCCCTTTAATATTCCTAAAACGCTATTATTTAGTAATAATGAAGTGCTGTTAAAAACCAATCGATTTAAATTTTATTGTTTTTAAATTGCATAATAAATTAATTTTCTCACTGATAGGTACCCGTTCCTTAAAGTGACAGTGCATATTCTTCCTGGCGAGGGCATGAGATACCTAGATCGTTAAAAGCAAGCAATATTTTTGTGTTGGAGTAAGACCTTACCAATGGATGCCCATTAGGGTAAAAAAGGCCCAGGGAGTGCAAGCTTCAGGAAAATGGCAAGCACATCAGACTCCTTTTCATCACTGGGAATCATTTAATTCATTTTCAACAACATTTTGATGGATATTTCCAGAGATTAATGATATAAACAACATATAGTCAGTTTAAGGAAACTGACTGTCACTTTGAATAAGACAAATATTTAATTAATCATGTTTAAAAATGCCAACTTTGTTAAATATGCAAAAAAAATACAGATTTAATGTTGAATTAAATGACCTTTGATATTCTGGTCAACCATTTGGTAGAGTATTATTTATTTTTGGTATACACGAATCATTATTATTAGCTTGTATTTGATTATATTATTACAAATAAAAAATAAAAACATTTTTACATCTTGAATGAGTCAAAGTTCATGCAAAGCAAAAGAATCCTTCATTAGGAACAAAATGTAGTTTTTGTTTTTGCACAACAACACTTTAACATAAACAATCTGGTTCCGATCACGGTGAACCAGGAGATTTAACATGGCCGACTCTGACTGAGGACAGCTATTGACTGATTGGTTTATTTTTCCCCTCGACTGTTATTTCTTTGGTTTATTAAACAATCCAAAGTGGCGTGTGTTGTGTTTGATGAACATAAGTTTCATTCTGCCGGTGCGTTGGCCTTTGACAGGCTCTTATAAATCACAGCCTGTCAGCACAGAGCCACTGCCTTTAAAAACTCGCTTTTATTCAGATAAATTTCATTTGTCAGAGTCAATTCTCTGAAACTCCATGTAAACTCATTTCTAAGGCAGCCATAGTCCCTCCCAATTTAATAAAACACAAGTCGCCATTGATCAACTTGTTGTAGACATTGTGTTGAGTTTGTTTGCCGACAGCTCGGAAAATATCTTATGAACCAGTTTTGGGTTCTAGAAGGCACCGTAAATAGAATTAATGCTTTATGCTGAGTACGAGCCGTATCGCCGCCTCTCAATATCGTTTACAGCAAAGTGAAATCCCCCGACAGTCAGAGCTGGAGAAAATGAAACGCTGTCGTGTCCGACGGTCCCAAACAAAGTGTCACAAACGGATTGAAAAGCTGAGAATGTCTGTTTCTAATCGGATGGTGGAAAAGTCAATCATAAAGAAGGTGCCAACTGTAGATTATTTATTTACGCTTATTTAATTCACTAAGCTGCTGTTTTCTAACATCATCAAAACAGAAAAAGTACTTCGCTCAACGACATTCAGAACCAAATATTTCTGACGCAAGTTGGTAAAAGTTTGTTCACACAAATTGTCGGTCATTATTCAAAAGAAAAAGCCTAAGTCTTGAGCTAAATCAACACAATCCCACAGATTTACAAGTCACCGCTTCAAAGAAATAACGTTTCATCATAAATCTGTCAGAATAATATTACAATAGAAAGAAATGCAGCAGAGCATAATTTAAGACTGATTTATTCCGTTAAGTATCATGTCATTTTAATCTTACCCCTTTACTTTCCTCATCAAGAAAAAAAGCAATAAATTGTTTTATTTTTTGAGAATCATAACTACATATTTATATTTATACTGAGAAAATAACTTTTTCATTAAACATCCTCATTTTTTAAAGATTTTTTTTAGTTTTTAACATTTATTTCCCGCTAAGTTCAGCATTAGTCAGAATAATATAAATATGCTCCACCAAACAGATATAAAGGCATTTTAAAAAGGTTAACTTTACCCTTTTGCTGGCATCAATACAAATTATGACCCAAAGATTATTGCCTTGTGTTTTATTCAGCAGTGCCTCATAACTACCTTTTCTTTACAGTGCCTTCATATTTTTCTTCAGCAATAACTTTTCCAATCCTTCCAAACTTCGTTTATTGTGTGTTTGTTTTGCTAATTAAACATTCAGACCCATTCAGGCGGTTTAATGAAGCTGTTATTTCCATCTCATGAACACACTGGGTCCAGATTTTAAGCTGTGTTCCTGTCCTGACCCAATATCTAACGAATATTACGGATCCAGAGGCTGGACCGGTCGAGAACAGCTTCCATTAGTCTTTCAATCTGCTAAGTAAATAGGCTCCACTGGGAATGAAGAAGAAATGCTCATCACCGTGGAGATGATGGGACCCGAAGCCGTGAGTGCTCTGAGTCTGCAGCCCCTCATCTTCCTGGCGTTCACACGTCTGGAGCACATCGCATATGCTGCACGTCACTTATGAGGCCCGACGAGATGGCAGCCTCATAGATTTTTCCTTAAATACGCTTGGAGGATTCCTTTAATAATTCATTGATAATGACCAGGATGAATAATTCAGAGGCACAAACTTTGCTTTAGTAAGCAGGATGCCAGGGCACCTGACATTGATGTACAATGTGAAATCACTTTTTATTAGCGGGAAAATATTTAAAATGCTAAAGTGAAGTTTCTTCAGACGCGTGGGGAGTCAGAAGCGGTGTGAGGGGCAGGTGTGTGTGTGTGTGTGTGTGTGTGTGTGTGTGTGTGTGTGTGTGTGTGTGTGTGTGTGTGTGTGTGTGTGTGTGTGTGTGCTGCTTCATGTTGACGTAATGAAGTCTTTATATGTTCTCTAATGTTTATCTGAGGGGGCTGGCTGTAGAATTTACATGTATTCACACAAAAAACTGTTCTGCTGAATAAAAACTGGGTCATGTTTTTTTTTTTTTCGTCCAAATGCTTTTCTATAAGATTCACACTTTAAAAGTCAGAGCTGTGGAAACTGGCGTTCACACCTCAGAGGAGTTTATTCTTCCAAACGCCAGGTTTTGACCTGGAGCAGGACTGCTTTAAAAGCTGTTTAGACTCCATCGTGATCACATATGGCTGCATGTTTGCCTCTTTCACTCTGAAAAACAGGACAAGCGACGCAAGAGCAGAGGGCTAATTAAACGAGATGTGTTTGTGTGTGTTGTCTTGTAGATCCGCAGACCGCCCCCAGCGAGGTGGACGGGGTCAACCTGGAGGAGATTCGTGAATTCGCCAAAGCATTCAAAATCCGCCGGCTGTCCCTGGGCCTGACACAGACTCAGGTGGGCCAGGCGCTGAGCGCGGCCGAGGGGCCGGCGTACAGCCAGTCTGCCATCTGCAGGTAAGGACGAACCAGAGGTTTCTAGAAGGAATGATCGGCTTTATTCCTGCTGATGTCCTGATTCTGTCAAAGGAAAGCGGGGGTGCAGCCTCAGTGAGCTGTCAGGTGCTCTAATCTCTCTGGTCCATGTTCCTACAGACATCATTAAGATATTAAACACAGCATTGACTGACATGGCTTCGCTTGCCCTTTCTCCACTCCTTTACCTCTCACACACTGACAGCCTGGTGTTACTTATGCAAAATACATACACAAGTATTACAGCAGCACTTAAAGCATTTAATAATTTCTAAGGTGCATCGCTGCTTCTCCTGCCTGAACATGAGCAAGCCTGATGGCAGCGATCTGTTAATAAGATTGTCATATTTTACTGCCTCTGCGAGGACCGTTTAGCTGTAAATGGTGCATTACATATTCATGAGACAATCGTGAAATCTGCGTTTCATCCGTGCTGTTTTTCCGCCTCACTAACGTTTTGCACCAGGAAACCAAATAAGCCACAATTGCCTTTAAAAAGTCAGAATAATTGGGCCACATGATGTCAAAATATTACTTTTTAAAAAGAACTAAGAGTAGATGCAGTTTTCTTTGCCTTGCGAAGAGAAACTTCAAACATTAGGATGATTTTAAAGTTGGTGAACCGAAGCTTAAATATGCGCCGACTGTTGTGCAGCATCAGTGTTGTTTCTTTTTTATCTGATTGCTCTGTAACTGTTTAGGTGACAGCGTTGTGGCGTGCTGTTAAAAGTTTCATCACATCAACATCAAACAGCTGATAAAACGTGAAGCGGTACAAGAGCCCAGGTCCTTATGAGGCCCGGACTAATGTTGAGAGCTGAAAAATCACATGTGAATTATTCACAGCCAGACATAATTCAAATATTTATAACATACATTAAAAGCCATTAGCTTCAAAAATAAGCACAGCGTGGGCCGGTCCGTGTGCCGTTAAGACGATTCTTCCTGTTGTTGGTGTGACACGGGACATGACATCCTGATGTTTTAAGTAGCAGAGCAAACTTCACATGCTTTAGTTTAGTTAACATCAACGCAGGCGTGGAGTTTGAGGACGTCAGCGTTGCTCTGGGGCGGCGGCTCTGAGCCCAGACCAGGAACAGACACTGACAGATGCTTCCATCTTGTCTGCTTTCATTGCTCACCACGTTTCCTGGCTTTTTATCAGTTTATCTAAACAGGCACATGCATTACACCGGGGTCTGTCCAGAACCAGCTGTGGGGCTCTTTGAGCCGGACGCTGGCTTGATTTAAGTTCAAAATAATCCCAAACACAAATCCACAAAGTTCTACTGCGAAAGATGCTAAAGTTAATTCACCCTAACCAGTTTTAGGTCCAAAAAAGTGGTGTTTTATCAAAACGAGAAGGATTTTTAACAAAACATTTGGATTAAATTGAAAAATAATCATTCAGAGAATCCTGAAACTAAGTATAAACACCTGCTAATTTTATGATTATGACAAGATAATAAAGTTAATCATATATTTGAACCTTCTCACAATATTTTACCCTTTTTACACCAAACAATTATTGAAGTGTAAATATTGTATCAAGCTGCTTTAGTAACAGGCAAAATGTCACAAAACCCTGCCGGGTCATACCGAAGACTTTAAAAATGGGACTGAATGTCTCCCAGCTTTAAGGGGTTGGATTGGGCGATCAAACCACCAAATAGTTCCCGAGCACAGCCGCTGCTGCAGCTCACCTCTCCCCGCTGGGATGGATCAAATGTGGAAATACATATTCACCAGTGTGTGATGACGACTATGGGACTTCAATAGTTCTTGAGCCATTAAAGGTGTGGAACACTCTTTTAATCAATGCATTTGCAGTGGTCTCCAATAGGAATAAATGCCTTGTAAGTCACACTCAAGGGAAAAAAAGCCCAGAAGCACCTGGATCAGCGCAGAAAATTGAGCTTAGGTAGAAAGCTGTTTCAGGCGGCAAGTTTTGGAGACTTTTTTCCTGATATTTGGACATCTCACCTTGGATTGGCTAGCAGCAACATGACTCTACCACTGACTCTGTTTGATCTGCAACGTGGATGTTTTATCTCCATGAATAACACAAGCCTGATGGAGATCTGCTATGTGGTGGAATTTCTAATGCTAACGGTTACCTTCTACTAGCTGAGATGTTCTCTGCTGTTTCCTGGACGCTAAACCAACAACAACCTTCCCTGTAGTGACTCAAGATGGTTGAGTCCATGAATGTTACATGACAGTGTGATGTTGATCTGTCAGGATTTTGAAATTCTAGAGTTTCACCGTCTATTTTCTATCAGAAGCTAATGCAGGAGTTAGGTGTAGGAGTCTATTTTCATGTTCAGCCTGCATGAAAAACCCAGAGTGACGATTATAATCAGAAATTATAATTTAATAATGGTTTTTCAGTGTTCCTCGCCTTTAAAGCAGAAATCCAGTTTCTTCTCGAAGGTGGAAAAAATCTATTGCACCTTTAAGCCCTTCTCACCACTTCCGTGGTTATAGCAAAAAGCAACGCCTCTCATTTGTGAATGTGCACCTCTAGCCGACCAACACTGTTTAACATCTATTTTTCTCACATTATGCTGTTTATTTATATGTATATATTTAAGACTTGGCCATACTTGTGCTTATTCTGCACTAGTTAAAATCTTCAGGCTGGTTGTTGCATGAACATATGAACAGACTCCGGTTTTTTTTATCCATTTTTCAGTGAAAAAAAGTTTCAAAAGTCATTAAAATCAAAAGTTTAACTGGCAAATGTATGGATTAGAAAGCAGAATCACACGTCTCTTTAACCCTCTCAGGCTCAAAATAAGTTTTGAATAAAGGACGAACAATAAAAGGACGAACAACTAAGTCCTTCAGGGGTTCTTCTGTGTTAAAGGGACTTTACGGAGTTTTGAATTGTTATGCTCGCGATTGCCCCCTCAGGCCAAAAGCATAACGGCAGCTTCAATAGTAGGCTCGTGCACGAGGCGCGCATGCTGTACGTGCACACTCCTTAACGAAAATAACAGCTGAGACAGTCGTGTGTGTGTGTGTGTGTGTGTGTGTGTGTGTGTGTGTGTGTGTGTGTGTGTGTGTGTGTGTGTGTGTGTGTGTGTGTGTGTGGCCCGGAGGACAGAGGACAGGAGAACGTACAGCTAATTAATTAAATAATTTGGTTCTGTACCTTTCTCTTCAGCACAGCCGACAAAGGTTTAAGATGGGTCAGTCCTCCTGCATGCTCAGATTGTTCCCTTCCCTCTTTTATTGAATTTAGTGAAGAATAAAACACAAAACAAGAGCCACACAGTGGAAGTTACACATGGAGCATGGCCACTGGATAAATGCAGAGGCTCTGCTTCAGTATTTGTGGCTTTAGAAGACAGTAGGTAGATTTTAACTTTGTACAAAAACTCTTAAACCTTTTTCTGAGACTAAAAACGCAGCAGAATATTTAAATCAAACTCTGCAGATACTTTTAAGGAAACCCATTGAGGTTTCCACCCTCGAGGGGGGGCCGCTCTCAGCTCATTTTGGTATCCGTGGTTTCTGTTGATCCATGAAATGTCCCGTCTCTAGTGACTCTTCTTACTCACTAATGTATTCCCCCAGTATGGAGCCTCCTCTTCCTCTGTTTAGGTGTAGGATGGGGTTATAAATGATCCCGCCTGCCGACCAGGATGGAAGGCTCCAACAAGGTGTTGAAACAGGAAGTTCCTGCACGCATGGTCAGGAACCTTAAAAACAAAACACGTATTTGTGTTTTTTTTCTGTGGAGAGCACCTTCTGGTGTCGTTTTGTTCCATTTAACGTCCTTCCATGAACACACTGCGTGATTTTTTTCATACAGAGTTACTCCCAACCTCCTGCTGAATCAAAAATATCATTGACCTGATAAATGATTAGGTTATATTTTACTTTACATGCCAACAGAGTTTTTACAGAATTGTTTTATCAAAGATTTGGACGTTTCCTACATCATTTAGAGCATTTAAAGAGGATTTTCCCTCTTGGACCGAAAAAATAGCCTAAAACAACAAAGTTGTAAGGAAAGATGAGGACAAATGATCAACAGCAGAAAACCTTATTAAAAAATTGTATCCAAAATTTAAAAAAAAAACGTCCAATTGAGATCATTTTTATCAAAACATGAGGTCATCTCATCATTAATTAAAACATTTTCTTCTAAAACGGGAGGTTTATTTTTTTTCCAACACACGTTTGTCAAAGCTTTTGCACAAGTGAATAAAATACCAAGCAGGTGTTTTTTCACCTTTCCCATAATGACTCGCTGATGTTTCTAAAGATGACTAAACGATCCTAATGAGCAGCTCCACAGGAACGAGAGGAATGTTTAACGCACCTGACAGCCACCGAGTTTCACCTTGGCAGCCGTGGAATAATTCTGCTTCTGTGACTTTGTGTGAAGTCTGATCATGTATTCCTATAAAATGAAGTGAGACGGTTGTTAGAACGTGTTAAAGATGTATTAAATGTACATTCTGATTTAAAATGTAGTTTTTGTAAATAAATGGTGGTGCCATATTTAACTGCATGCTGTAGTGGATATTTATCTTCTGGGAGGTGGAAATGAGATATTTGGGATAATTTCTGCTTTTTTCTGATTCATAAAAAGTATTAAAACATTTAGTGAGATTATTTTTGCATGCTTTTGGGTTTAGTTGCACCTGAATTTTAGCGATTGGCAATAATCTCCTTGTTCCACTACTGCCAATTTGGGACAGAGAACCTCAGCCAGACGGTTAACTCAGGGCGTTTAAGCGTCGCCTGCTGCTGCTGCAGCCGAGCTGGTTCAAGGTCTCAGACGAGCTCCTGGAGGTTAGTCTCAGTCCCGGTGGCATTCTGGTGGAGGAGACCAAAAGGCAGGCAGCTTATCCCTTGTTCTGGCAGGGCACCTAAGTAAGATTCTTTTTTCTCAATTCTCCCCAGACACACCATCCTGAGAAGCCACTTTTTCCTACCACAGGAAGCCCAAGAGAACACTATAGGTAGCAGTCTGACTGGCAAACTGAACCCTGGCCTTTTATATCCTGCCAGGTTTGAGAAGTTGGACATCACCCCTAAAAGTGCCCAGAAGATTAAGCCCGTTCTGGAGCGCTGGATGGCCGAGGCTGAAGCCCGCCACCGATCCGGCATGCAGAACCTGACTGAGTTTATCGGCAGCGAGCCTTCGAAAAAACGCAAGCGGAGGACCTCTTTCACCCCGCAGGCACTCGAGATCCTCAACAGCCACTTTGAGAAGAACACACACCCCTCCGGACAGGAAATGACGGAAATAGCCGAGAAACTGAACTATGACAGGGAGGTGGTGCGCGTCTGGTTCTGCAACAAGAGGCAAGCTTTGAAAAACACAATAAAGCGCTTGAAACAGCCCGACCTCGGCATGGCTGCACCTATGGACCCTCTCACTGATTCTCTAGAGGAGCTCCCCAAATGAACGAGCTCTCCAAAAAATAAAGAATGAAAAAAAAGAAACAGTGGAGTGGAAAAGTGGCAGCCATTAAAAACAACAGAGGTGGATGAACTCAGCTGGACGGACGGTTCCCAAACAGAAACTATGTGTTGTCAGTGTGATTCTGTAAATGACCTTGGCGAAACCAAAAACAATGAAAAAGAGATTAATATGGGAGAATGATGTAAAAACAAATGGCGTGCTGTTTTAAAGAGGTGTGTATGGAGCCCAGACAGGGCCAGAATGTTGGGAAAAAGATTGAAACTGAAAAAAATAAAATGATAGTCAAATTTTGAACTTGTAAAACCAAAAGTTGCATTTTTATTTCCACTAGAAAAAATTTTATATTCAGTTCACTTATTTTAACTAAACCTTTTTCCGCTTAGAATTTATTTATTTATTTATTTATATATTTATTGTAGTTTCATTTTCGGGTTTTATTATTTCAGATTCATATTAGTGTTTTTTTCAGTGTCAGATCTGTTTTCTGACTATTTCAAGTCTTTTTTTTTTCAGATTCCAGTTTTGACCTTGATTTGACAGGAGTGGGCGGGGAAACGTGACTGATAGCCATCATTAAGGCGGGAGGGCCCGCTCCTTTTATGTTTCTTTTAACTGTGGAAATGCAAAACGTTTAGTAAACACATGCTATTCAAATTCAAAATAAAAAAATGTTGAATTAAAAAACTTCAATAAATCAAAGCTTTTTTTCAAGCTGAAAGAAAATGTTTGTTTCACTCCTTTTTATTTTGAAAACGTATTTTGATTTTTCTAATTTCAAGTTCAAAATTTGACATTTAGTTTCAGCTTAAATTTTTTTCACTTTTAAAATTTAGTTTTACGTTTACCCGAACATTCTGGCCGTGTCGTGACTCCATACATTTAGACTTTCAGACCAGACTGTCTCTCTAATTCTGGTTCCCACGAGGAGGGATTTAGTAAAGAGAACATACCAAATCAAAACACTATTTACCAAAGTCTGTTGCATCTAACTAAGAATAATTTTGTAATGTAAATGTGCTCAAAATTTTTACATTTGTACTGGCAAAATGGAAGCTATATGTATGGGTGTGGGTAAACATTTTATCTTTCTCTCTCGTTTTTTTCTTCATTGTTTGAATGTAAATATTTAAAAAAAACTTAAATTGAATCACACTGATAAAAGAGAAGAACTGTGCTGTTGCATTTTATTGTTGTTTGCCTCCAGTTTGTGTTTCATCTATACATTTTTTCAGTCACGGTGTAACTTTGTACAACTTTTACAGGTATTTATTATTAAACTGTTGCGGATCAGAAAAGGAGACGAGGACTTTCGCACGGTGAAGAGAAGGGTTTTCAGTGTCAACTGCAGCTTTGTTACGAGCTACTGTGTTATTCTGTTGCCAAAGCCTGATAGCCAAAGAACACACAAACTTCACCTCAAGGACTGGGGAAGATTTTATCTTTTTTATTTCTTTAATCACGCGGCGTTGTGCCCCGTTTTCTAAAGTGTTTTACACTGTGTTGAAAAGAAGAAGACAATGTCAAACAGCTTCATCTGTGTTTTCTGTCTCTTGTTTTCAGGTAAATTTGTCTCTGCATGAGGAATTATTTAAATATTGCACCTGGCATCCAAAAAATGTTTAAATTTTATTTAAATCTACCACATCAAGCTTTTAATCTCGCCATAAAGTTCACTAAACTCATATTGTGTTGCCTCTGACCAAACCATGCAGCTCCTTTTTAATTTTACTCACAAAAAAGTTTATATTTTCATTTTATTGCCCCTTCCTTTCAGCTGAGTGAAGGTCATATAAGTTCTTATTCCAGCTCTGAATCATTTCCAGGAACTTTCTTTAATTCTAAGAATGTTTAATTTAAATAATTATCCACAAGATTTTGTGTTTTTATTAGAAAGGAAGATTTCTTAAACCTTTGATTTCTAAACCTTTCTTTTCATCAAAAAGTTTTGGTATTTTTTTGTCAGAAATGTCCATTTTCAGACAATTTCTCAAGTGATTTGCCCTCACGGGAAAAAAAAGTGGGTGAATGTTGAGAATAAGTGTCACACGTCAGAAATAGTCAACTTAATTTGAAGTGAGGTGAAATTTGATGTGATTTATTCAGCATCAAGTGTCTGCTTGATGCATCTCTCTCCATGTCACATTGGTTGTCTCAGCATTTCAGTCTTGTCCTCTTCTTCTTCCCCAAATGGAAATCATTCACCCACACTGTACAAAGAACACATGAGTTACGTCGAGCAGCCACAGACCACAGTGAATTTCAGCTATTTTTCAAAAATGTGTGCATTTATGTTGTGATTTTGTGGCCAACAAAACAATTTCAAGCCCAAATCACAAAATATCCGCAGATATGAGAAAACCAGCAGTGGATCAGAACAACAAAGCTGTAACCAAAACCAAAAACTATCAAGACAGGAAGAGAGTTTTGCCTTTGCTCAACTTCTTCACGCCGGACCAAAGCGCTAGTTATGCACATTGTACAGAGACAGATTCAAGTTGTTGACAATCTTTAAAACAAGAGTTGCAAGAAATAAAGAATAGAAATAAACAGTAGCTCCTCCAAGGTTTACCTCAGTGCAGACAGCTGCAGGTCAGAGCAGATCTGTGTCCACGTTCGCTCTCAGCGTGGGGAAGAGGCTCGTGTTTGGTTGCTTTTTCATCACGTGACACATTCTTGTGTTGAATTATGTCTGCGTGCTGTAACTCTTCAGTTCTCACAGCTTGTAGAAAACTAGAAATCATGACTATGTTGCGCTAAATCAACAGGTTTGTCTGTCAGCACTAAACAAAACTGGTTTGAAGTTTTCTTAATGGTCAAAGAGCTAGAAACCAAAGCTCTAGAGCCTACAGAGGAGTTCCTTCTTTTGTTATTTTTTAAATATCAGACTGGAAAACTGTAAGCAGCAATATCTGTTTTTGGTTGGTTAAGCAGCACTTTGTGTATTTCTTAAAAAAAGTCAGTAAATCAAAGAAAGACAAAAACACTTCAAGTCTGTCACATTGATTTGTACCATAATTAATAAACAATTGTTTGACATTAAATACGTGCAGAGTTTCCAATGGAATCACTCTTTCATGTCATGTTTATTTTTACCGTAAAATAAAAGTCCTACAAAGTCCAAACCTGCTCAAAAGCATGTGGTTGTCTTCATGAAGCCAACATGGAAGCTCAAATCAAAAAGATTCACCAAAAATAATCAATGACCACAAAGAGTAGACAAGTTTTCCTATTAGCTTTGACTTATCTGACCAGCTTCAGATGCATTCTTGTATTCTCTGAAACTCAAAGCCACATTAATAACTACGTTTGGTTTCATTAAAGGACTAGTTCAGGTCCATGGGAGTAGTTTTGTGTGAAAAAGATTAAAAATATATATCATGTGGATAATTCCTATATTTGTTAGTTTAGAGCACAGATGTCAGAGTCAAGGCCTGCGGGCCAGATGCGGCCCGTGGAGCATTTTTATGTGGCCCGCGAGATAAATATCAAAAATATATTCAAACTGGCCCGCTGGCCGATTTTACCGCAAATACTTCAACTCCCATGATGCTTTGCGGCGTCAGCGCGGAGCCGACGACGCCCCCTCCTTTGTGTTTTTTCCGCCTGCTGCCGGTCTCTGCAGCTCCGCTGTCTCAGACAAACTACACTCCTCTCACTCAGCGCCGAGTTCACTCAGCTGTTTTCTGACGTTGAAGCCCAGAAACGGAGATGCTAGCCGCTCAGTAATGTGTTCACGACTGAAAGAAAAAGTGTTCCAACTAACGTCCAGACAGAGCTGATATAACTCCAGCGAACAGCGACACGCTCAAACCAGCACGGCTCTGTTGTTGCTGCTGTTGTGTTTCCTCCCCGACACAGAACAATGCGGTCAAGCTGCTCAGACTTGTTCATCAGCACAAACCTATGTGAGCACCTGTTGTCATCTAATGTTGTCATTATTATGATGAAGATGAACAAAACAACAGGAGTCTCCTCCTCAGCTCAGATCAACCCCATGATGCAGGTATCTGGCTGGAACAGGTGAGCATCACAGTAAACCAGTGGAGCAAACTGAGCTTTAAATATGTTGGTTTTATGCTCGTTTTCTGCTCCAAAACATGAAAGTTAACAGGTGAGATGTTGCATTTTCATTTAAGATAAAATGATATTTTTATTTTGTTGTTGGCCCGTGAGAAAAGATTTAACCTACAGTAAACAGGAAGTGGAAAGGCTGCAGATAGATGAATAGAATAGAAAATCCTTTATTGTTCCTCAGTGGGGAAAGCTAGACGTCACAGCAGCGATGACACTTATTACAGGAGAAAAAAAGGAGAATAAAAAATAAGAAAAATGAATAAACAAGAAAACATAAATCCTGAATAGATTTTAAGAATGCTGATTATACCACAAGTAATGAATACCACTGATGCCTTTTATTTAAAACTGACTTGCTCGTGTGTAATTTGGTTATTCCACATTCAGTGTTAATGCAGAAATATGTTTGTTTCCAAATTTAAAGGTTCAAAATTGCATATATGTTGATAAATAAAATGTGCAAATTTGCCGTCACTTTTTCAAAAATATTAAGTTTGGCCCTCGACTCCGTCCCAGAGTTTCATTTCGGCCCCTTGTAAGTTTGAGTTTGACACCCCTGGTTTAGAGAAACGGGGAATCATTCTGACAGGATTGATGAGCTAACAGCGAATTGTAATGGAGCCAAGACCAACATGTTTTTCTTAAATCCTACAGAAATTAAGTAATTTTAATTATTTAATTAACCACAAATTTCTGTTGCATTTTAGAGGCTGACCGATATATCGTCCAGACGATATATTAGGCTGATATATTAATTTTTTTCTATATCGGCCATCGGCTGAAATTATTTTTAAAAGCCGATTCAAATAAATAAATAAATAAATCACGCACACTGCCACCACTAGACTGAAGAAAGGACCTGAAGGACCCCAACACACCATATTTTTTTATGTTTTGACTTTGTTTTAAATTTGAATTTCAATAAATATTAGGCATTGTAGGGTTAATGAGATTGGGGGGTTAAATTATGATCAATAAGATGTGATGATTCTATATAAATATAGAATATCAACCTATCTGTATATCTGTAGATGACCGTCGCATGTAGGTCAATATGTGGGTGAAAATTGAACCTTTCTGGGCGTTACAGCATTTTATTGACTTATTTAATTTATATTGCACACAGTGACTGTTCAGTTTTCTTTCACAATCAGTGTGCTGCTAAAATGTATACATATATATCGGCCTTAAAAAACTCATATCGGTCGGCCTCTAGCATAGAGAACTCTGCAATCAGAAGAAGGCACGCCGTTTTGATTTTACTTTCAATTCTCAGATTAATAATTAAATTTAAAACATTTGCTACATGGACAGTTGGGAGGCTGAGAGTTGAAAACAGGCAAACGTACCCCAGCTTTCCACCGGATAGAGCTGGGCGATATGCCCCCCTGCTGCCCCCCCCCCCCCCCCTCCCCGCCCCATGTCCTGTCTGGATGTGAAACAAACAGAATTGATGTCTGAATGCTGGTAACAAGCCTTACAGATTTTCTCTCAAGTGGAGCATCAAAGCGTCTGCTTTAAATGTCATGCCTGATACTTAAAACTTTATTGTTATTGTTTTTGAATGCTTTGTAATTCCGACCAGACATGGAGTCAGAGGTGAAAGAGAAAGGAAAAGACAAAAGGTGTGTGTGTGTGTGTGTGTGTGGGTGTTCCACAAAAACAAACAATAATGAACAAGAGTCTGCTTCTAGACCTGCAGAAGGAGAAAGAAGAGAAAAAAATAGGACACACAACAATATAACAGGAGCAAGCTATCACTGCGTCAACTTGAAGAAATATACAGTCAGCATCGTTTAACTGAACAATCACACGATAATAAATCATAGTGCATTTAGTGGCAACGACAGCCTTAAGACATGTGTTGAGCGTGTCCAAGTCCATACTTTGAGAGCACCATGTGAGCACCTGTGTGTGTACACGCGCTTGTTTATGTAAGGTTTCTCTACAGGAGCGTCCAATAGAGAGTGTGAGGGACCACAGATCTGCACCCCCAAAGATGTGTAGGAGACGGGGGGAGCTCCAAGTCCCAGAGATCCAGGCGCTGCCCCAGAACACAGGAACCCCAAGGAAACTGCAACCAGAAAGGCCCCCGCCCCTCTCGAGAGGCACAGAGGATCGCCCCGGGGGGCCACAACCAGCAGCCGGCAGAGTCCCGGGAGATATCAGCAGCAAGCCCACAGGCCCGCCCGCAGCCTCCAACCCCCTAGCCGGCCAAGCCCGGGACCCAGTCACCCAGGACCCAGGGGCGACCACCCCCGCCAGGGACCCAGCAGAGCCCAGAGACCCAGACCCCACCAGACAGCCACCGGGATCGATCAGGCAGACGCCAAAAATCTTAAAATTGAGTCAGCCATGATATGGTCTAAAATCAATATCACGGGAGGAGTTCACCTCGATAACGATAAATGAACTATAACGACATGTATGCACAAAAACAAAAGATGCCCACTAGATGGGGCTGTCATGTATGTCCCATTGTCATGTGACTCAAGGTGGTACAACTTCTTTAAGGGACATGAGTTTCACCAACCCACACACATCTTTCCATTTTTTATTACCGTAAGACGCAGCTAATAGCTGCCATTAGAGTCGATGGGTGTTCCCATTGGCTGCGATGCAGTGTGTTTCTGACGTGTCGCAGGAGTACAGTGTTGTGTCACTCTGCTACATTTATGCTTCAAACAAATTTTTACACACTATGCTTCCAGAACCTCTCAGCAATTCAGATCGAGATAGACAGGAAGTCAAACACACGAGCAGTCTTTCAAAATAAAATACACACGTAGATTTCCTATTGCTTAACTAGTGAAAAAAAGGTCTACATGTGACGCCTCCATGGCCGAAGAAAACAGGACAGGAGAATAAACAGCAAACCTTGTGGACACATCATGTCATCTTTCTCCTGCCTGTTATCGTGTGAACCAGCAACATTTCTTGTGTTCGTGCAATCGGGCTCGGGATCACACGTGATTATGCGTAGCATTCTGGGATGTACGCAGACCCATTGATGGCCTTACCAGTGTAAACAAACCATGAAAACAAACACTACGTCGCAGAGAACAAGCAGATTGGGGAGAAAGCAAACATGTTAAAATCCCAAAAAAGATGTGGAATATGCAGGCGACAACTTGTTCCCACCACAGCTCTGTAACAGACGTTTTCAGCTATCCTGTTTGTGGCGTGAGCGGATATAAACATCCAGAAGAGACTGTTTTTTCTAGTCAAACACTCAAAAGTGTCATTCCACAGAAGATGTGTAGCAAGAGAAGTTTTAATGTGTCAGTGTGCCAGCATTAGCCTATCGGTGTGTGTGTGTGTAGCCTATGTGTGTGTTGTGTGTGCATGTCGCAGTTGAAAGAAAGAAACAAAAAACAAACACCATCTGTAACTTACCAGAATAAAAACACTGCGGAGGTGATTTTTGGTCACCTTCCAGCTGCGATCCAAGCGCGTCGATGAGACTTTGTTATGGCAGATTTTTGGTCTCCGTGGTCATTCCTTCAAGCGGGAAAACTGTGAAAAGTTAGCTAGTTTTCCACCTTTTTCCCTGGCGATCACGTGTGGCACCCTACAACACAGCAACGATTCACCGTGGTTGTAAAATAAAAACTGATCAAACAAAAAATATATTAAAGGAAGCAGCAAGGCCGAGACTGAGCGCTATGTTGTCTGGAGTAACAAGCAGCAAGTAAGGACTTGGACACCGCCAACGTGGCGGCTGTGTCTGTGAACGTGACACGATCCCAAGCCCTTTTCTGATGTGATTTCCTGACATCTTGGGAAGAGCTGCATGGAATGCTTTTGCTACCGATTCACATCTGAAATGATCCCAGTGGGAGGAGATGCGCCACTGAGGTTGCAAGGGAAACGCGCCTATTACGTTACGCGCCTCTTACGTGTCTGGTGAAAATCTGGGTTTGTTCAGTTTAAATAAAAATGTACAAAATGTAGTTAAAGGGAATGT